CTTCTTAGTCGCATTCCATGTGAAGTTCGAAGTCAGAATCGAGAAAGACTTTGTCACCTGAAGATTGGATTTGTGCGAGGGAAAATCCTACGGAACTCTATCTCAGTCATTTATACAGTAGGCATAGTAGTACTCATATATGCTTTCACTGGATTTTGCGTACAAAAAGCTAGAATAAAAGATAGTCCAAAACGGCAGTTTTCTCCCTCGGTCTCTCCCACATATATCACTGTATACTACAAGCCTTACTAAGTATAATCTTAAACTTTACCCCTTATATGTGCTCTTACAACCGAGAAATACCAAGTTTTACATGGAAAACTCGAAAAGAGTGGCATTTTGGCACTTTCGGTCCATTTTTGTTTATCAGTTTTGAGCTCTGAATAAAATTCATACTTTGAAAACTACCTGTGTCTATCATATGAAGACCAAGTTGGATGTCCATGGGAATTTTCAGAAAGCAGATTTTATTTCAATGTAGCTGAAAAATTTTGAATTTTGGCTCCAAATTTTATTTGGATTACGAATTAGGTCGTCCTTTAGTGGTCTTTTCGTAGAGGTTGCTCCGCTCTATCGTATGGTGCTCTAAATCTGCCATGAAAACAGAACAGCTCAATATTTGTAAATGGAGTTTATTTTGGGACAACTCAATATTTGAGTGCGTAGCAAAAGCATGTCAGCGGCCAGCGTATTTCCCATTTAAATGCAATGTGACCTTTTACATCAGAAAAATCTTTTTGTATCGTTTTATAAATGAGTCCTCAAATTGAGTACATTGTCAATAACTGCGAACAAAAGTTACAAAAAGGTGCTAAGTTAGAGCATTAGATTCTTCAATGTCATCGTAGTGCAACTCGCTTCAAGAATTTTTTTGTATGCTGACCTTACATTAGCTTATCCTCTGCCTGAACAGTTCTTTCTAATCAAAACATCCTGGCAGTTTTTAGCTTTCTACCATTTCAAAATGGGGCGTATTTTGCAACGTCAAGGCTACAACTTAGCTGTGGGATAGGTCCAAAATGCTACTATTTGAAGAAATTTTGAACGCGTGTACAGGTGGTACCGAAGAAACTTATCATTGTAATCCTTGGTTTATACGGTGAAGTCATACAAGCTGTGCGGAAGAGGTCAACATGATTTCTGTCAAAAATTGCATTTTGGAGTCGTTTCTCGTCCTGCTAACGAATTTAGCATCCATTTCTTCAATAAAGTTCTACAGAGCGATTACGATAGTGACGAGATAGGATCCTTGCAAATCAGAGAAACGTTATGGAAAGAATGTTAGTTTCCGAGATTATTATAGCAGTAATCTGCATGCTACGAACTTTATAGACTAAGTTTAAGTTTTGAGATGGCAAAAGCGAAAAATTATAGAATCGATATTTTCTACGGGTGAGCATGACTTTGTTGCATGTTTGGCATTCATTGTGTGTGAACTCCAGCCACAAACATTTAATCATCTGAATCAGTCCAAGCTAATTTTTTCCCTTGGTCTTTGTTACTACCATAACACTGTACATTATTATAACGGATCATCTGAAGCTTAACTCAAGAGTTTTCTTAAATTTGTTAAAACTCCATGGTTTTCATCAAAGCTGCCAATTTTAGAATTTTTATTGATATGTGATCCACCGGTGGATCGTAGACCCACAATGTCAGACAACAAAGCACGATTCACCACTTTCTTGGATGTGCTGATTGACAGACTTACATACCAATGTGACGAATTTGCCATATGCTATCTGCCTCTCCTCTCTCGTCCTCCATTGGCGGTGATGTTGTAGCGTTTTCTTGATGTGAGATAGAGCATGTAGCCTTAATAATGCATATTGCATTCCGTGGCAATAAATTTTAGTGCTGACCAAATTAGAGATGATGAAATGCGCTAAGCTTTTGCTGTGACCGGACGTGAAAGCAGTTGCTACATTGGTAATGATGATCGTTCAATCGGAGTTGCTTCCCGACATTGTCTGCTTGAACAAGGAAGTGTTTAGACATATCCACATTTTGACAGCTAAGATGAGCATTACTCAAACGACTCTGAAAATGGGCCAGTTGAAGCGCTACGACTGAGTCAAACCAATGTACTGAGAACGTTGTACGCTAGTTAAACCCCCTTCAGCGCCTTGCTGCTATATGAGTTTAGAACAGGACGAAACTTGTTTTGTACAAACCGTAAGCACTCTAAAGTGTTCATAGTAATCAGCAATATGCCGTGTTATTCCAAACCAGATTTGTTTTGTGATCATATTAAGTTTCTATGTACTTTGGAGCTCTGTTTGCCTCTCACCAGAAAGATATATTCTTTGAATAGTTGTGGCAGATTGTTGCTTTCTTATTTTGTTTATGAAGTAGACCACCATCAATGAACTTTTGGTGACAGCCCCATAATTGTGAAGTAAGACATCATTCGAGAATAACCCTCGATAGAACTGTTCTTTGTCAGGCAGTCAGAAAGCTTTGACGCTTCGTTAATATGTTGTTCAAAACAAGGGAATTTCACATGCTGTTTAGGGAAATTATGAACATAGATGGCTTTTTTGGAAAAATACGTTAGGTGTGTGTAAATTAATCCAGATTTGCTGAGATTTTGCATGTGGAAGAGGGAATATTATCTCCTGTTGCCGTAAGGCCCTACTGTTCGGGAAATGGGCTTTGGGCTTTCAGGGTGACCGCACGATTGAATATCGTATCTCAATGGGAAATATGATAGAAATCAGTATGTTGATTAATTTCTCCATGCAGAACTTTTACTACGAACAGTCTTATCGTAGAGAATCTGTATCATTTTTGATGTCAGCATGTCTCTGGCCATAAGTGCGATAGATAGAGCAGGGACCTCCACGTGAAGGGAGTTTCGACTGTTTACGACCTTGTAGTGTGAAGGGACAACTGAGCTTTGGTTATTGCTGATGTTAGCATATCGACTATGACCGAGGGTAAAAAGGAGGAAAAGAAGTGGTACAGAGATATAATATGGAGAAAACGCTTTGGCTTTGAGGGCTCATCAAACAAAGAGAATTTTTTGATGCAGGGAAAGTTTATGTCATATAATCGATACGCCCTTCGAAGCTTGGAAACTGCAAAGCGACGTATACCGTCCTGGCACATCACATATATGAAATTTGATTTAATTGCAACATCAGCTAATATGTGCAATCATTTTGCGCTCAATTTCTGAAATGAAAAAGAGGACCACGAAATAGAGACATCTACGTTTAGTGGCAAAGTCTTGCTTTGAACCACAATAAGACAATTGGGCATCTTTATTCATCCTTTGCGTAGAGATTTGCTGACAAGTACGCGCATATTTTCCGATTAAATGTTATGTTACTCTGAGTAGAAGGGGAGAATAGAGAAGAAGGGATGGTCTTTTTCAAAATTCCGATCCGTATGTTTTCTAAAGGTATATAGAGTGGCAGGTGAAAAAGCTTGCAGCTCTTGACAAATTGGGTTGAGATATTCACTATTGACTTTCTTCACCTCGTCTTTTAATTGGCTTAGCTTTTATGGGTCAATGGAGCAAGACTTTTTTGGAGTACGAAAGCTCTGTGCACCAATAATTTATATACCCTTCGATAGCTAATAGCACGACGAATCTACGCAGGCTGTCTCTTTTTTTCAGCTTTTCTGCAAAGCTAGATATGAGCAATTTTAACTGAGCTCAAAACCAACTAATTTTCTGTAATTGAATTTATGCCTCATTTTTGAAACCAAAAAGGTCTTCTTCTAGTTCTTGGATTAGACCGAAAATTTTGAATGCAAAAAAATCTAATTGCGCTCCATCGTCTTAAATGAAAGGAGATATGTTTCGATTTTAGTTCGACTTTATTAGTGAAGGTGCATTCATCATAGTCCAGATCAGACTTCTCATTACTTAATTCTTTCCTGCAAAAATGTTATCTAATGATAGAAAGCAGCTTGCTTAAAGAATCAGACACCCTATTCATTTTTGAGTATATTTCGTTATCGAAGCGCCATTCCGAGTGAGACAGGAAATCTCAAGAATGCGTTTTTTTAGTAAACGGTGTTGCCACAATGCATTCTAAAAATGGTTGCAAAAATGCCCCGATTGAGATGAAGCAGCAGCTGCCGTTTGTTTACCCAACAAAATGTGCATCATTTATTATAGCTGTTTTATTCTGCCTTTATTCTTGACTCTCAATCTCGGCCTCAAGTAAACGGGATATTCCAGATAGTGGCTCTCAAGTGAAGGGGAGGAGGCGGAGGGGGGGGGGGGCAGAGCCGTTGTTCCACCTATTGCACCCATGCCTTTAGCAACATTAATATGCAAAGTTTTCGGAAAATCTGTATTACGCTACTTTGAGCTGGTTCTTTGGAGGAGCATCGCATTGTCACTACGCTTTTGGAGATGACAGTTATGCCATGCCGTTCACACAGTATTATGCACAGAGGGGTTTTGAAATAGTCGCTTTTCCAGAAATTTGGAGTGTGAAATTCATGAACTTCAAAATGACTCAAAAAGAATAATGACCTTAATAAATGCTCGAAACAATCTGCGCATTAGCGTGCGTGTGAATAAATCGCGCTAAATCACACTAAAGTGCAAGGAACTAAAGTCAACAAATGCATGACGAATGGGATGCCGCCACCAAAGCCTGCGGCAGTTGGCATCGGAGAGCTGAACTTTGCCCTTTTATTCTCTTGCTCTGCTAAATTCCAAAATGGTGAGATGCACGCTGGAGAACGCAGCGAGATAACGTGAAGCGGAGAGGTGATCCACTTTGCCATTGTCAACACACATTTGATTTGTAGGTGGAAATGCACCTTGTCAAACAGATTGGTTGACGACTCTATAAATGCTCCGTGATTACAGGGGTGTCGATCAGAGACTCGATTCATGATTTTTTGCGTGATTTTGTTGGTGAGTGAGCACTCTTACACATCTGTGTACCACCAATCGTTTTGATCTCAGTTCTCACCTGTAAGCGCTAATCAGGATGAGATTAACATGATTCCTGGGAGGCATGATCCCAGAGATGAGCATGAGCAGAAGAAACCTTGTAACAGGTTCGCCAAACGCTGGAGAGATACATTCTGGTGGTATAATGATGACGTTAAAGATCCAGTGAGTGTCTTCATAATATTTTACGGCATTTGAAAAGCAACTTGCATGTTTTCAGTAGTAATTGCTGAAAAAGATCCATATCTTGCAGACATAGAAACACTAAGCTCTTTAAGGAGTATGAATGCGATCTGGAAAATTATGCCGCAAATGTTGCAGGAGGCGGAAGTCCACCATCTGATATCATAGATCTCAGCTACCCGTACAAGTAAGTTTTTTTTCTTGTTTGAATATACAGCAAATGTCTCGTCTTCCAGTTATTCCAAACCCGCAGACCCGATGGAAGTTTTCGAAGATTTTTTCACGAAGTATAGTCGATCGTGGCGACATGTAAGAATAACTTCAAAGTTCTATTCGTGTTATAAAACGGAGTAACAAAAGAGCGGCTGTCAAAGATCTTAGCGGCACAAATCAGCTTCCAATGTCAATACCCGTAATTGGTCATTGCAAACTTACATTTCTAATCAGACAGAAAAACAGCAATATTTTTTTACTTTACCGTATGCTAAATTTGATTATAAAATCTGGCTTAGTCCAACGAATGCCTGATCGGAAACTGAGTCCGGCATGGTTGTTACTGTATGCGCAAGAATCATTAGGAATAAGCAGGATGTGGCACGCGATAAGCATATGCAACTTCACCTCCCTATATAGCGTTAATGTATTGTTTTTCTGCTCAGCGCAAACACCCGGCGATTTGCGATAGAAATTCATTGTATTGAAGCCCATCAAAAAATATATCTCTATACAAGCGGCGTACCGAGGGGGTTGCCTCCCTCCCTCGAGAATGGGTCGCGAAATTTTTGAAAGTTACTTACATGGGTTATAAAGTTACATGAGTTATGAAAATGTGCAAGTGACTTGTCTGTACTTGTAAGTAATTAAAATATTTTTTAGAATTTTTAAAAACCTATTTTAGCCTTATAATATTTTTCTGGAGACGTGGCTGACGCCACGCCCCTTTTTTCTAAAAGGAAGCATACCGAAAATTTTCTCGGAGTTATGGCTGACGCCACGTACCTTCATCAGAAAAAATTCTTCTGTCGCCTCCTTCCCCCTCCCTCCGAGCGGAAATCCTGGGTAAGTCACTGCTCTATACTCATAAGACTCAAAATTTGTAAATTCGCTGTTCCTAAGTTCCGAATGAAATCTTTTGTGTTCCAAAGTAGACGTCAAACTTTGCTTACATACGGTTCAGACACCGGCGGAGAATATAAGCTATTTTTTGCCCCGATTCCCTGTCTTCTATCGATTTATTGATTTATTTACATAGTTCTAAGAAATTGCTTATAATGCTTCAAGCAAGCAATTTCCCATTGTGATGTAAATGGGGGCGGTTAAGCCAGTATCAGGAAAACGAGGACGTGGTGAAAATTGGAATGACCGTAGGTCATTCATTATGGAGAGGAAGGATCTCGCCATGCAGGAATTATGCTGACTACCTATGAGCTCCACATCCCTACTGGGCAATGGCTCTGAACCTGGGAAGTCAGCTAGTATTATGACTTATATTAACGGGCTAGAGGTGTTTACGTGTTTTTGTGTCTGCCGTCTGTCTGTCTTTAACGAAATTTATAGAACGAGTCGCAGACGAGGTTTCAAGCCGCAATTTTTTGCACAACACACAATGCCTACATCTAGATTCAACATGCAAAAGCACAAGCAGATTTGTTGAATGGATCTTTCAGAAACTGCGCGTTAAACGGATCCACTTATATATTAGGTTGGTCCGAAAGTTCGTTCGCACCATTTTCAAAAAATCATAACTTCCTTCCCTCACAATGATTTTGCGCAATTTAAACTTTATTAGAAAGAGTAAAGCATGTAGTTTCCAACAGTCCCCTGGAGATTTTCCAGCATGTTCAGATTGCAGAGATAAAAATAAAAGAACGAGAACATCCGAAATTCGGAATTTTTGGGAAAAAATTCTAAAAATCTAGAAACTGCGCGATAAAATCCAGAAAAGCCATTATCCTAATTTTTCCTATATTTGATTACTAACTGAAATGCCGAAAAATCGATTTCTTAGGAATCCTTACGAAAATGATTTTTCGGCATTTTTTTTCAAAAATTCATAACTTCTGAAAGAAGACCTCGATCAGCACAAACTTGACTCAGATAGTAATCAAATATAAGAAAAATTAGGATAATGGCTTTTCTGGATTTTATTGCGCAGTTTCCAGATTTTTAGAATTTTGCTCAAAAATTCCGAATTTTGGATGTTCTCGTTCATACATTTTTATCTCTGCAATCTGAACATGCTGGACAGTCTCCAGGGGACTGTTGAAGACTACATGCTTTACGCTTTATAATAAAGTTCAAATTGCGCAAAATCGTTAGGATGCAAAGAAGTTATGATTTTTTGAAAATGGTGCGAACGAACTTTCGGGCCAACCTAATATATAAATATCAGTGGCGGTCGCAAGATTTCGGACCGGGGGGCGCGAAAAAAATTTTTTTCAATGAAGGTTTGTGGCGTTAACCACGCACTCCAAAAAAATTTTTGGGTGCTTCTCAAAATTTTTGCGGGTCCTCAACCCCTAAAATCAAGGAAAAGGGGGCGTGGCGTCAGCCATGCCTTGAAAAAAAAATTTTTTATAAGGCTAATCTGAATTTTTAGAAATTTCTGAAAATTTTAATTATTGACAAAAATAAAAAATCGTTTACACCCATATAAGTAACTTTCAAATATTTCGCGACCCATTCTCGGGGGGGGGGGCCTCCGCTCGGACCGCCACTGATATATATTAGGTTGGAAACTAAGTTTTGCAACTGGTCTCATAACTTCCATCTCACTCAACATGGCGCACTCAAATTTTGCCACTTTGTTGGTTATTACGTAAGCTACAAGCGCAGCTGCTATTCTACCAAATTCTGACGTCGCAGTGAGGGTTACGGTAGGTGTATTGTATAAAGGCGAAAAACTCAGAGTTTGACGGATTTGGCTGAAACTTGGCATAGGGGTGTTATCCGACATGCTGATCAGATAGTGAAATTGAAAAGATAGTGAAATTGTGTGATAAGGGCTTTTTTGTAGCATTACTGTATGTGTACGATATGGGGTCTCACCCTAAACAAGGAATCAGGCGTTGATTCAACAAATGAATATGATATTCGCGCTCGGCAGGTCAAATAACCTTATTGTGTAAAGTCTCGGCGGAATTTGAGCTTCCGACTCTTTAGTCATTGACGGTCGTTCCAGCAACTCTTGCGTACAATGACTCGTTCGACTTTGTGAGGACGCCAAATCTCGACATGATTCTGTTTCTTTCTTACTAGACCAAAGGACTCAACCTCCAGCAATAATTTGTAGACGAATCCGGATTACTGCGCGTGGTCTAGGCTGCTAAAGGCTTAATTTTAGCTTGGAATCCCAAAAATTCTCAAATTTCACTAGTTTTCGAAAAATGCCCAAAACTTTATTTCGTTTTCAAAATTCAAACGGTTTGTGCGCACTTGTAGCACACATTACTCTCTACATAATGCCAAAATTTGAGTACGCCATGTTGAGTGAGAGGGAAGTTATGAGACCAGTTGCAAAACTTAGTTTCCAACCTAATATATTAGGTTGGTGCAAAAATAATGAGCGTTTTTATTTGCTTGCTTTAACAAAGCAAGCAGACTCAACCCAGCAAAGGGTAAGGGGTACTGTTCGATAGAGCAAAGCAAGCTCTACAAGATGGCTCTCATGTCTTTGCGCCATGCTCGATCCACGGAGAGTTCGAACTCAAAATCTAAAGAATTCCAAATGCCCAAAAAATCGAAAAAAATCAGATCTTCGTCGAAATAATTTCTACGGACCTCCCACTTGCTCACATCAATACTATCGATATCTGATATCCATATGTGCGATTGCCGTATTTTTCCCTTGACTAGAAATTGAGATAACGAAAATTTCCCTGTTTTTTTTTCAAAGCAATGCTGAGCCGTTTTTGCATATGTAGTTCTATACTACAAGCCTAGGTAAGCATAACTGTAAATTTTCAGCCTATTCGAACGGTACTTTTCGAGAAATGTCGATTTTAGCACTGAAACTGAAATGAAAAAATCCGAATTCGTTATTTTTCGAAAACTACAGTTTGGAATGGGCTGAAAATCTACAGTTATGCTTACCTGGGCTTGTAGTATAGAACTACATATGCAAAAACGGCTCAGCATTGCTTTGAGAAAAACAGGGAAATTTTCGTTTTCTCAGTTTCTAGTCAAGGAAAAAATACGGCAATCGCACATATGGATATCAGGTATCGATAGTATTGATGTGAGCGAGTGGGAGGTCCGTAGAAATTATTTGGACGAAGATCTGATTTTTTTCGATTTTTTGGGCATTTGGAAATCTTTAGATTTTGAGTTCGAACTCTCCGTGGATCGAGCATGGCGCAAAGACATGAGCGCCATCTTGTAGAGCTTGCTTTGCTCTATCGAATAGTACCCCTTACCCTTTGTTGGGTTGAGTCTCCTTGCTTTGTTAAAGCAAGCAAATAAAAACGCTCATTATTTTTGCACCAACCTAATATTAGGTTAAACCGAAAGTTCTGTCGCACCATTGTCAAAAAATCGTAACTTCTTTCTAACACAATGTTTTTGCAAGAATAAAACCAATTTAGAAAGAGCACTTCATGTGCTTTCTAAAACTGAGTTGGCTGCTATTCACTAAGTTCTGAATGCAGAGATAAAATTGGGGAAAAGAATTCATTTCAATTTCGGAATTTTTAAGCAAGCCCGTTAAAAAATGCAAAACAGTGTCATAAAATCCAAAACAGCCACTATCCTAGACTATTTCACCCCCTCTTTCTGGGTGAGCAAAGTTCGCGTTGATCGAGCTGTTCTTCAAAAAGTTATGATTTTTTGAAAAAAATGTCAAAAAATCAACTTTCTTAAGAAAATGATTTTTGGCATTTTTTCTTGAAAATCATAACTTCTTTCAAAAGAGCTCGATCAGCGCAAATTCTGCTGAGCTGGAAAGAGGGGATCAAAAAACCTAGAATACTGGCTGTTCTGGATTTTATGGCACTGTTTTGCATTTTTTAACGGGCTTGCTTAAAAATTCCGAAATTAAAATGAATTCCTTTCCCCAATTTGCGGCCCCCCCCCGTCCCCCTTGGTACGCCACTGATATATATATATATATATATATATATATATATATATATATATACATATATATATATATATCCTTACTATAATATACACTCGATCCTTCCAAGCGCGACGG